GTAATTTTAAGAGATGGCTGAAGACCTGCTGATAATTGTATGCCCCATATTAGTTGCTGGCATATTCATCACTTGCTCAAGATTGGGTAGGAAAGACCTTGAGATAGATGTGAATAATTCAACATGATTCAGTTATCCATGTAATCCCTACACCTATTTAACAGAAAACATAGCTGGGTGTGGTGGTGCACACCTGTAATCCTAGCACTCAGAAGGCTGAGGCAGGAGGATTGCCACAAGTTCGAGAACAGCCTGGGCTACATAGCGAGACACTGACTTAAAACAAAAGAAAAATACGAAACACATAAGCCAAATTGGTTATGTTGGCCTTTGTAATAATCATCTTATCCTGAATCTAGAGCAGATTCAGAATGGTCCCTCACATTTTCTACCTCCAATACAGGAGTAAAATTTTAATGTCAATTTCATATCAATTTTTTAAAAATAAATTATATTAGAACTTATAAAACCTGTTTTGAGTGTACTTTCAGTTAATCATAGCTCAGCAGAGAAAAGAGGAAGGAAAAAGTTTCTCCAATATATTGCTTCACTACTGCCTTTTCTATGTTTGGAAGTAATAGAATCACAGTGATCAGTGACAAGAGTAGGTGGAAGAGAAAAAGGAAGAAGAGAAGGAGGGTGGCAGGGGAGGGGAAGGAGATAGGAGGGGAACAGGAGGGAAAGGGGGAGAAAAAGGAGGGAAGGAGAGAGGAAAGGAAAAAGAGCTATAGCAAATTTTAAAGCCAGTTCAGTTATGTCCAATGCTATTTGGTGTTCATAGGCAAGGATGGCCTTTTCTAAAAAAATAATTGCTGGTTCTAAGTAAATAATATACCCAAACTTGGTGAAAATGGCTTGACTTAGATCAGTGACATGAGATCCTACAAGACATCCCTTCCCTGACCTACACGCTAACCCTCACAACATGAAAATGAACACTTAACCATTTTAAAAATGTAGATCTATACCGATAACACAGAAAGTTACTCATGACATTACAAACGACTATTTTATCAAAGGACAGCCTGTTTCTACAGAGCAGCTTCAATCTTAGTCTCATGTCCTTGATTTTCCCACAACTTTTAGAATGGCTTTATGATTCTTATGGAATGATGGAAGAGTTTTTCAACTTGGACATCTATCTTTAGGGAAGGTTATCAGACTAGAACACTCCAGATACAGAGTTCTACCAAAGACTCATGGTCTGCAGATTTCCATTAGCTCCTCACATAACACCTGAAATCCTGTCTTATTACAGTATTACTTTCCGCCACAAAAATGCATTGTTTTCAGAAACATTTTCAATAGTTTTCACCTCTTCTACAAATGATATCTGATACTAATTGGTTATCAAATACAGCACTGTATTCAAAAGTAAGATAACTATATGGGCTTAGATTTGAGTTAGACTTGAAATTAGACATGGAAGGATAAAGATATGTACTGTCCAATGTGGGAGCCACTAGACACATATGGCTGTCTCAGTTTAATTAAAACTGTATACAATTTAAAATTCATTCCTTCAGTCATCCTAACCACAGTTCAAGTGTAGCTACATTGGACAGTGACATCACAGAAAGTTCTGTTGGATAACACTAATATAGAAGCCACTGAGTCTTTTCTAAAGTATGATCTGAACAACACGAGCCTGGTAAGAAGCTATGATCCTAGCTAAATCAATCTTCCAAAACATCTGCATTCTAAATCTCCTGTTGTACATATTAAAACATTAATATTGTGAATCTCCACACAGGTGCTAGCATCAGATAGAGCAAGTTGTTTGTTCATTCGTTGGTTTGTAGAAGGGCCTCACTATGTTGCCTAGGTTGGCCTTGAGCTCACAATTCTCCTGCCTAGGATCAAGGTGTGTACCACCATGCCCAGCTAGATAAAGCCAAGTTTGAATCCCAGCTGTTACTTATTGGCAGTGTGAGTTACTTAATTTTGAAACACAGCTTCTTCACCTGCTAAATGAGAATAACAACTCATTGGTATTGTTATAAGAATGAAATGAGACAATACATGTAGAATTTAAGAAAGTGCTTCAAAAATAAACCTCAGTAAATGTAAACTTTGGAAATATTCTTTCTCAAAGTTCAGAGAAGCCCCATTGGTTTCATCCAGAATATCCCAAATTTACTAACATTTCTTTTAAGGATATGTGAAAGACAGACCAATAGTCCCCCAAAGATATCTACTACCTAACCACCGGAACCTGTGAACATTTTACTTTATATAGCAAAAGGAATTTTGAAGCTGTGATTAAGATAAAGATTTTGAGATGAGATTATCTGGATTATCAAAGCAAGGGCAACATAAGCTCAAGGGAACTTTGTAAGAGGGAGGCAGGAGCGTCAGTCAGACAAGGAGATTGATGGTGGAAATGAAAGCGGGGGAGAGGAACTTGAAGATGTTGTACCACTAGCTTTGAAGATGGAGGAAAGGGCTGGACCCAAGGAATGTGGGCAACTGAAAGCTGGAAGAGGGAAGAAAATAGAGGCTCCCCTATAGCCTCCAGTACACAAGATGTCCTGCTGACATCTTGATTTTAGGACCACTTAACTTTATAATATGTGTTGCTTTAAGGTACTAAATTTGTGACAATTTACACAGACAGCAGCAATAGTAAACCCATACAGTATCTAGAGATACTGAGGTCTCACTTGGAGGCTGGTCTGATGGAAAGAACTGAAATCAGATTGAGGAATACAGGTATGGGGTCTACCTTAATTCAGCAACTCAACAGCTTTGTAATTACAAGAAGTCACAATCTCTGGGACACCTCAGTCTCCTATAAAATATTACCACCTCATCTACCTAAAGATGTTTATAAATGTAAAAACCATAGGGTCTGGGATTTAGCTCCGTGGTTTTGCCGCCTGCTGTGCAAGCACAAGGACCCAAATTCGATCCCCGGTACCAAAAAAAAAACCCATATAGGTATTTCTACTCCACAATTATAACAAGGGAAATAAAACATAAAGCAGAAAAGTTTTAGAAGAAAAATATTAAAATAAATGATCAATCACTTCTCGGCCTTTTGGCTAAGATCAAGTAGAGAAATGATCAAAATAATTTCGTACAGTTTCAGCGAAACTTTGTAATAAAAACTTTGTTTTTATTTTTTTGGTACTGGGGATTGAACTCAGGACCTTGCGTTTGCGAGTCAGGAGACCGCACCACTGAGCTAACCACTTCCCAGCCCCTAGGAAGAAATTTTGTTTTAATGCACGCAGCAGAAAATGTGACTGACAAATATTTTGCACCCAGGTTGAAACATTTGGAGTCAGGTTCATACCCACCAAACAACTTTTCTCTGAAACATTTGGAGATATATATACATACATATATATAGATATATATAGATTTTTTTTTTTTTTTTTGAGTACCGGGGATCAAACTCAGATCCTTGTGCTTGCGAGGCAGGTGGTGGAACAACTGAGCTAAATCCCTGGCCCCTGGAGTATATTTTTTGTGGTCAAGGTTAAAAAGTGATGTAACCAAACCAGGCTCATTTGCCAGGTGCAGTATGCCAATTCCTGAAGAGACATATTTTGCAAAAGAGAATTTACTTAGAAAGCAGACATATGTGGAGACAAGAAAGCAAGTCTCAAATTGGCTTCCCCGGGAATAAGGCCCCCAAAACATTTAGGAACTGATAAGGCATGGGGAAAGGTGATTGAAACAAACTGGCATCAGTTGTTACCACTACAACCCACATGTCAGACTTGTTGTCTCTAATCAAATAAAAGCAAGTAACTAAGAGGAGGGGGAGGCTAAAGGACTTATTCAGAGACAAAAACAGGTGATTTATTCAGGCTTTCCTTCCATTTATATAATACTAATTGTTTTTCTTCCCAGAGTAAACATAAAAGGTAAAACTTAGATTACAAGAGTTGTCTCTCTCATTTTAAAATTCCGCAACTAAATGGCTTTGTAACTACCAACTACCAGCTTCCTTAAATCTAGGACTCAAGGAAGCAAGCCAATGTAGCAACCTCGCCTCCTGCCATCAGGAAGTCAAATCAGCACTGGATCTCTGAACACTGCTCTTTCCTTCCCGAGCTCATCTAGTCCCCTGTTGGAAGCAGTGAAGATGCCACACCCCCTGCTGGGTTTGGTAGTCATGGGAACAGCTCTAGTGGCGCTAAAGGAGACCCTCAAAGCACGCTGACTCAGGGTGGGTAAGATAGGAAAAGACTAATATCCCTAAAATCTTGAATGGTATACTTTAAATTGTATGGCATGTGATTTATAGCTCAATGGAATAGTTTTTTTTTTAAGTATGTGAAAAAATTCACTGTACAAGGCAGCTGTAGCAATGGATTTTTAACAACTAGATTTCACACCAAATGATAGAACACATCTTTCATTAAGGACCCACAACAAACAATATCCTATAAAAACAGGACATCTGCAGCCAAGAATGGGCTTGTTATGTCTTAAAGCAGGACCATTCTGTGTCTCTAGACATATTTTAGCACTTGCTGAAAAATGCTCTGTCATAGGATGATGTCCCTACAAAATAGCCACCCATGTCTTCTTCGTTGAGGATAAATCAATCCCCAAGACACTTCTCTCTATGGCCTTTCAATTGACTAAAGCCCCTCACTACATTATAATAAAAATAGTCTGCAATTATAATTTGCATTATACTAACATAAAAATAAACTCTTAGGAAGAAAAAAGGAAGGGTAAAATTATATACCTCAAAATATTAGCCACAGTCATGTTTGGTAGGACTATGAGTGATTCTTTTCAAGAAAAGAAAATCTGACTTTCCTTACAAGCCAGCCAGCACAATGCAGACACCTTCTTACTCTGTTTTCTAAAAAGCCGTCACATATATGTCCAAATCTTATCCTCCATAAAGTCAAAATGGGCAGTTCCTAACAAAGGCAAAAAAACACCCAGGCAGGAAAAGGTAGGACAGGGCGAAGAAAGCAGCACCTCTGCCTGGGAGCAGAGACTCCCAGACTTCTGGCTTGTGTCTTACTTACCTCTAAGAAAAGTCACTCACATGTTCAGAGCATCTGTGTCCACATCTGCAAAATACAGATTTGAGCCCAATCCAAAAGGGCTCCTTTCTCATCTAACAGTCTCACTTTTTCGAGGTAGGGTTCAGTCTCCTTAATCCCAGTCCCTGGATCTCACAGACAGGTCTGTGAAATTTGAAAGACACAGGGTGGCCATAAATCTGGAAACGTAAGCAAATATGTAAGAAATGGCTTCTTGTGTAATGTGATGAAATCCAGACTTGATGACCAACTAGTAACTAACAGCACAACCAATCTTCTCTCATCACCTTCCCACAGTGGGATACAAGAGCTACCTAACCAACAGCAAAAGCGGGAGGGGGACTCTGGTAGGAGCAGGCCCCCAGACCCACCGTAATGCTCACTTACCTTAGAGCTGCATTACTGTTCTGCTTGCACCTGTAGCCTGGAACAAAGGACACTCCGGATACCAGACACTAAATACACAACGGGCCTCTCACTCAGGAGTGCACAGCGGAAGCTACTCCGCACAAGCGAGGGAACTGTAGTTGGAAAAGAGCACAAGCAGGGAACTAGAGAAAGAAAACCTCAGCAACGTACAGTAGACAGCTAAGAAAGAAACACTGACTGTCCACCACAGTCTTTCTGTTGACAGCAAGGTGGGAGGGAAGTGATGGTGAGGGCTGAGCATGGTTCACAGCTTGCCTCCCTCCCAGCAAACTGCCACAGGCCAGCAAGGCCCGGCCAAGAGCCCCCTTCCACACACACCTTCACCTGCAGTGCCCCAAGCCTGGACACCTGTAGGGAGAGGAGGGAGGTTAACTCACACAGGTGGAAGCAACCAGGGTTAAATTTTCTGAGAAGCAGCAGCAACTGTTTCCTGGTGTGTCCAACACAGAGGTACTGAAAACACAGCAGTGGTGAGCTGCGAAGGAGTTCTGGCAGAAATGAGTGGGCAGGTGCATGGCTAAGGTCTTGGTTCCAGCACTGTTTATTCCGAGAAGCTTGTGTCTGACCCTCCTCAACCCCCTCCACTCCAGGCATCCGCAGCACCCAGGACTCTCCAAGGACATTGTCAACCAGACTTGTCTCTCTCTCCCACTAGATTGTAGCGCCTTAAGAAAAGGCCTCCACTTGGGTTTAGCATCGTGCCTGGCCCAGAAAAGGGCTCAGGAAATATTCACCAAAACTGCACATTTTATTTTCCCAGTGCCAAAATGCTCAATAAATGCCCTTGAACTATCTTAATTTGAGAACTTCATTGCTTAAAGAACAGCATCCCATAACTTCTTTAGTGGGGCAAGATAGCATAATTTACAAACAGCTCTGGAAGCCCAAACCTGAAGTCAGGCCCACTGGGGATTCCCACCCAAACCCTGCCATCTACTGTGTATGATCTACAGACCCACAGACAGGTTATTATATTTCTCTATTTCTCAGTGTTGTTATCTGTAAGTAAGGGATGATATTCATATCCTTCTCCAGTTGTCATGAGGATTCAAGGGCCTGGAACACATGGCTCAGGCCCTGGCATGCTCGCTAATTGAATGTCAGGACACAATCATTAGCCGTACTCTGGATCTGAAGTATAAGGCAAATTTTATCCCGTCAGTAAGAGGTCACACATAGCTGGGCTTAATCAGAAGCAGGTTACAAGGGTGGCCACTAATTTGCTTTGTCTGGGTTTTGAAGACTAAGCTGGCTGAGGTCCTTTGCAATTTATATATAAATTCCACTTTGACTATAAAAATTTTTTAAATGTTTATAGCTCAAAATGTGTTTTATTACTGCTTCTCAATTTCCAAAGGTTACCTCTTGGCAGCGTCATTGTGGGTGGTGTCCCTGTCAAGAAAAGCAATGTCAAATCCAGCTGTGGCATTTTTGCTTGTTGCCAGGTTGTGGCATGTGTGTGGAAGTAGACAAAGCCAGTGAAAGAAAACAGGCCTCAAAGGCTGCAAACTCCCTGCATTCTGGGCCTCCTTTCTCTGCTCCCCTTAGATCTCTTCCCACCTAGCCTCATCTTTTGCTTTGGCCCTTCTAGGTCACAATTGCTTTTTCCATAAACCTTTTTACAGCTTCAGAATAGAATATCCCCTCTGCCAGAGGATATTCAGCATTCTAAGAGCAGGGAAATCTGTTCTTTAACCTTATTTCTATCTCAAATAATAATAAAAAATATATTGAGGTATTATTTATGTACCACAAAATTCAGTCTGAGTACAATTTAAGGTTTTAGTGAAATTGCCGTTGTACAGATACCCCACAATCCCATTTTAAAACATTTCTATCTCCCCAAAAAGGTCCTTTAATGCCCCTCAGCAGCCACTGCCTTTTAGTACCCCTAGTTCTGGGGACCCACTGTTCTACCTCCCAGAAGGAAAGGGAAAGGAGACAATTTGAAACTAACCAAGCGCTACTGACAGCTTCCCCAGGAGCTATGTGGTCAGCACTTACTGAGTCCTCAGGCTGTGAGGAATTTTAAATGTCAGCCATTTCCTTTCCCCAGAAAAACTGGAAGAATTGGTCCCAGAATCCAGAGGTCTGACTTCCAGCCCAGCTCACTCTCCACACAAATCATTTGTGAGTCAGCCACACTGGGAGTAGAATGTATCTTCATTTCACCTCCACAAACCCGTTTCTCTAGCTTCTCTAAACCCCTGCAGAGTATCCACTGGCTTGTAACCTTTTTCAACTTCAGGTGGGTTGTAGAATTTTATCTGAGGATTATTTTCATTTCCAAACTTTACAATGTCATTTTAAAAGCTCTTAAATGCCTTCAACATAGAAATTGGTGAGTTCTCCTTTATTTCTCATGTCTTGGTGAATCCTTTAGGAATTCTCTCTGAATAGCAGCTTAATTCATCATTTGGTTGCCTTCATCATCACTTGTTGAAAAGTCATATTAGTATGTAAACCAGTTCTAATCCAGAACTCCAAAATCACTTCTAAAAACTCACAATAAACTAAAACTTGAGTCATCTGCGATTATATTTAATAGGACTTCTTTCTGTTTTTCATTATCCAGCTGGGCTTGCTATCAGCCAGCTGTTGACTAAGGTGGTGGAGAGGGCTGGGTAAAAGCAGCAGCTTTTCTCTGCCAAGGGGGCAGGGGAGCAACAGCATTGGTTCTGGGTTTAAAATTGTGGTTCTCAAAGTGTGGACTCCTCACCACCAGCATCTGTGCCTCATGGAAACTTGTTAGAAATGCAAATTGGGGGTCCTAGTCCCAATTTACCAGATGAAACTATCCAGATGATTCTGATGCATGCTCAAGTATAAAGAACAGTGGACCCTCAAGTTACGACCAGCCTGACATACAAACAACTTGGGTTAATTAGGTTAATGAAGATTCATCTGCCTCTTGTTATCTAGTGTGTTCTCAGGTAAATATCCAGATCTCGCCTGTATTGACTTATAATCAATTTGAGTTACAACCAGCCCTCAGAAACTGATGGAGTTCGTAAAGTCAAGGGTCCATTGTACTTGGTTCAGACTTGCTATAAATTTGCTGAATTACAGACCACAGTGAAATTTTAGAAACAGCTGTTTGAAAAATAATTGCCTTGACTGTAGTGATCCTCCCCTGCCACCCCCCAGGAACATGTCCCGCTTACATGTATGTACTCCTCATTTATCATTTATGAGTGTGTTTTTATTACTCTGTAGGGCTGGTGTTTAGAATCAGACTTGCTAATGAGCAGCAACCCTGTGTTCCTGCTACTGGATCAGTGCACTCCAGGTATATGCATGCAGCAGAGATGAGCTTAGCAGTCAACCTTCCAGCCCTGAGCAAACAGCAAGGAGGAGGGTCCAGAGTGTCGATACTGACAGAGAGGTTTTTTTCCCCTATGCAAAAAAGAGCCAAGGCAGAAAGACAACCCTAAATAAGACGCTAACTTCTACAAGGGACAGCTGGATGCCAAAGGTGACGCCAGCAGCTGCCTTGACCAGCTTCAACTCCAGCACCATGAATGCTTCCTTTGCTCACCTCCATTTTGCTGGAGGGTATCTGCCGTCTGACTCCAAGGACTGGAGGACCATCATCCCAGCTCTCTTGGTGGCTGTCTGCCTGGTGGGCTTCGTGGGGAACTTGTGTGTGATTAGCATCCTCCTTCACGGTGCTTGGAAAGGAAAGACATCCATGATCCACTCCCTGATTCTCAACCTCAGCCTGGCTGATCTCTCTCTCCTGCTGTTTGCTGCACCTGTACGAGCTACAGCATATTTCAAAGGTGTTTGGGATCTAGGCTGGTTTGTCTGCAAGTCCTCTGACTGGTTCACCCACACGTGCATGGCAGCCAAGAGCCTGACAACGGTTGCAGTGGCCAAAGTATGCTTCATGTATGCAAGTGACCCAGCCAAACAAGTAAGTATCCACAACTGCACCATCTGGTCAGTGCTGGTGGCTATCTGGGCAGTGGCCAGCCTGCTGCCCCTTCCAGAATGGATTTTTAGCACCACCAGGAATCATGCGGGTGTGCAAATGTGCCTCATGGATGTACCAGCCGGGGCCAAAGAGTTCATGTCAATGTTTGGTAAGCTCTACCCTCTCGTGGTATTTTGCCTTCCATTACTTCTGGCCAGCTTTTACTTCTGGAGAGCTTACGGCCAATGTAAAAAACGAGGAACAAAGACTCAAAATCTTAGAAATCAGATGCGTTCAAAGCAGCTCACAGTGATGCTGCTGAGTATTGCCATCACCTCAGCTCTTCTGTGGCTCCCTGAGTGGATAGCTTGGCTATGGATATGGCACCTGAAGGCTGGAGGCCCAACCCCACCACAGGGTTTCATAGCCCTGTCTCAAGTCCTAATGTTTTCCAACTCTTCAGCAAATCCTCTCATTTTTCTAGTGATGTCAGAAGAGTTCAAGGAAGGCTTGAAAGCCTTGTGGAAATGGATGGTAACCAAAAATACAACTGCTTTGGAGTCTGAGGAAACACCAGCTGCTAACATGGAGGTCCTTCCTGACAAGGTTCCATCCCCAGAGTCCCCAACATCCATTCCAGATAAAGAGAAACCTGGCTCTCCCAACTCTAGCAAAGAAAAAACTGGGAAGGTGGAGATTCCTATCCTCCCGGATGTAGAGCAGTTTTGGCACGAGAGGGACACTGCTCCTTCTGTCCAAGACAGTGATCCTATCCCATGGGAACATGAAGATGAAGAGACAGAGGGTTGCGGTAAATAGATTTCAGTTTCAAAGAAAAATAGTGATTATTGTATTTATTTACACTGCTTATTAATGTCATTGACTTTGCCATATAAAAGTAACAGTAGAAATTGTAAAATGCTTCACATTCTGCATTTTCAAAATGTACAATCTGGTAGGTAAAATACTATTTAATAATTACGCTTTGGAATTATAACTTGGCTATCCAAAGAATAAACCTTTAAGTGTTGGGTAAAGATGCTGCTGCCAAAGTAGAGAGCCTAGCTGTTTTGTCACTGGGTCACAATGCATTTTCACTAAGTACTTTTAGGGCCAGTCCTGCACTGTACTGTGCTGGTCAGAGAATTTGCTTCTGTCCACGGCTAAGCCTATCTACTTCAGGTTCTTCCTAAACTTGCTGTCTCTAACTTATCTATTGAGTTTCCTCATAACCAAAGCTCAAAATGTACACCACATAAGAACTTTAACACACTGAATAAATTTTAATGGGTTATTCTCATTTGCTTAATGTTACTTTAGTTGATGAAAACCCATATAATTTTCCTGACTAAAGCTTACAGAGTAAGAAATACCACCTTGCTCCAATTTT